ATGAGAAGAGCCACTGAATATTTTGATGTTCGGCATTCTGCTTCTTAATATAACACTAGGTTTTTCTAAGTTAGCCCGTAACAAACTTCTTGCTCTAACTGAGTCAGATAAGACAGGCATAACTAAAATATGGTTTCATTCGGTGTTGCATTTTTAACGGTTAAAATTGTCCTATCGTAAGTTAAACATGGGAATTTAAATTAAAAACCATAGACTAAACAGTTATGGTAAGCCAATAGAAAAAGACGTAATTTTTTTTTTTTTCAAACCGCGACAATTATTTTTTTACGTTTCAACTTCTTAGACTCTATGGTTTTCTTCAATAAATAAAGCCATCGAATATTATTTTTAGGTTATTTTCAATCATTTTCAATTTAAATATAGAATAAGTAATATTTAATATAGAATTGAATTTATTGTATGATGTCGTTTTAGTGAAAATTATGGCGAATATAGCAGCACAAAGAATAAAAAGAGAATTTAAAGAAGTATCTGCAAGTGAAGAGGTACGACCCTTTTTTTTTTTTTTTTTTTTTTTTTTTTTAATAAAATAACCAATAAGTTTATATTTTGTAATAATTTTTAATTAATAATTTACATAATTTCATAATTCTTTTTTTTTTTGTAATGTTAAAAGAAAAAATCGGTTAAAAAAAAATTAAATAAAAAAAATAAATAAAAATTAAACACAGATTATTATGCAAAATTTCGGGGAATTAAGCAACACGTATTGAAACCAATTTTAGTGAAAACAAGTCATTATGAAAGAAAGAAAGAAAGAAAAAAAAAAAAAAACAATGCTTACTACTTGAATCACACATTAAATCAAATTTTTTAAGACCCAAATAATAAGGTCTTTGTAATTGAAATGTTTTTCGCGTAAAGACTTACGATACTATGATCATAAAAACCACAAAATATTTCTGTAGGACACTTTAATATCTTAAAATTATTACATCACACATACGCACAAAATTAATAATACAAAGGTCATTTTCTTCAAGGGGGTATTTACTTTATAAAATTGATAAAATACTTATTCTTATTTCTTTGTTAAAAAAGGAAAAAAAAAAAAAAAAAAAAAGCATGAAAAATGTCATGATCCTTTTTTTTTTTTTTTTTTACAATTAATTATATTCGTGTTTGTTTCGACAGGTGGCCAAATGTTCTATAAAAATTGATCTAGTAAAGAATAGTTTTTCGGAATTAATAGGCACAATTGCTGGTCCTCCTGATACTCCATATGAGGGAGGAACATTTCTTGTCGAAATAAAAGTTCCAGAAACATATCCATTTAATCCACCTAAAGTTAAATTCATGACTAAAATATGGCATCCGAATATATCTTCCGCTACAGGAGCGATTTGCTTAGATATATTAAAGGATCAATGGTGAGTTGGACTCGGTTTTTTTACCTTTTTTTTGTTTCAACCCCTCAAAAATTAAAATGTTTGGGTGTAATCGATTATTGCATCGCATAAAGTCATAGCCCATAGTCATAGCCTTTTTAAGAGAATCATTTCGAGCGAGTGTATAAATATTTTTATAATTTGAAATATTTTATTATATTAATTAATCAAATTAAAATTTTCTGTTGTTCTTTTGACCTCATTCTTTGCACTTTTTCAGTTTTTAACTTGATCGTTATTACAACTTATATTTTAATAAATTTTATCACATTCATTATTAACCTTGAATAAAAATCATTTTTTTAAAAATCATTATTATTATTTTTAAATAATAATAATAATAATAGGAATTTGAATGAAATCACATTGAAAAAAGGAAAAATTGAATTCATCAATCGAATACTACTTGTAATTTGATTTATAAATTAAATGTCATTGCATAATTTTTATTTTTAAATTTTTTTACATTTTTTTAAATGATCATTATCATTTTCAATCTTTTTTTTTTTTTTTTCCCCAATGTTTTACGTTATCTGAATTTAATAGTAGATATAATAATAATAATATTTTTTTAAAAGTAGTATAATAATTGCGTTCGATAAAGAAAAATAAAAAATAAATAAAAATTGGAAAAAGTTTAAATATTAATTTTTGTAATTTTGTTTTCAGGGCAGCCGCCATGACACTTCGAACCGTTTTGCTATCTTTACAAGCGTTACTTTCGGCAGCCGAACCTGATAATCCACAAGATGCAGTCGTTGCAAAACAATATAAAAAATTCCCTGAATTGTTTACAGAAACGGCTAAACATTGGACTTTTGTATACGCGGGTTCGTTATAAAAAAATAACCGGGGCAAAGCGGTGTCGGTGTTTTTCCGACATGATGATTTTCATGTATAAGAAGGGAATTTATATGAAATTATTATTATTATTATTATTATTATTTTTAAATTACAGGAGGACCACACAAGCATAGCGAATTCGAGAGCAAGATAAAACGGTTGTGCGACATGGGAGTGGAAGAACACAGAGCCAGAGTTGCTTTGTCCACATACAATTGGGATTTGGAACAAGCCACGGAACAGTTATTTAGCTAGTCAATTAAATATTAAATTATAGGTTTTTTCTCATTTTTTTTTTTTTTTTTTTTTTTAGTTCGGTATATAAGATTATGGCCTTAAACACACACACACACACACACACACACACACCGTACACACACACAAGCGCGCGAGAGTCTATGTTTAACATTGCAAAAGTTGTTGTTGTTGTTGTAAGAAGAGCAAAAGAGCACGTTGCGAGGAGGAGGGTTCATTTAAAAATTTTAACGTTTTTTCCCACTCACGCACAAACACGTGTACACACACACACACACGTGAACATACATTTTAAAAGAGCGTCTCTCAAAGTTTTCCTATTTTTCCTATTGAAATTTCTATGAAAAATATTCATTTTCGCAAACATTTTCATCCTTTTTTCCTTCTTCTCTCTCTCTCTCTCTCTCGTTTACAATTTTATCGTCTGCGCTCTTTACGTATCGTATAAAATAATAATAATAATAATAATCAAGTTATTATCAATCAATTAATGATAAGAGAGACAATAAAATAAAAGGAAAAAAAAATTATTCTTGGTGGTACACGGTGAAACTCTGAGTTGTATGAATAATTTAATAATAATAATAATAATGATAATGATGATGATGAAATGTATGAGTTGTTATTATTATTATTATTATCAGATAATCATTTATTATTAAATATATATATATACACATGTTAAAAAAATATTTAGCGTAGTTTTAAAGAAAACAACAACAACAACAAGATGGATTCAATTTTTTTTTTTTTTTTTGTTAAATGTAAAAATGAATGAATATCTTATATATTAATCGTTATAATAATAATAATAATAAGTATAAGTATAAATAATTAATAATTAATAATAATAATAATGTTTTTTTCTCTTTTTTTTTCTAATTATAATATGTCGATGATTGATTATGATTAGAAAAAGAATTAGTTGATAGAATAACGATAGTTTTATTATTATTATTATTATTAAGATTATTCCCTTCGCCTTTCATTCCTTTCTTTCTCTCTCTCTCTCTCCCCTTTAAGGAGGGGGGAAAGGGGAAAGTGAGAAGGAATATTGTTAACAAAAAAAAAATTTAATTTAGAGTAGCAGCAGCAGCAGAAGCAGCATATAAATGATATTTTTTAATTATAAATATATTATATTCAAATCCCAAAATTCTTATTATTATTATTATTAATGATGATGATAATGATGATATGGAAAAATAAATATATACAAAAATTTATATATTTATTTATTTATTTTTAATAATATGTAAAATGTGTAAAAATTTTGATTTAACAATTATTGTCTTTGTTTTGTTTTTTTTTGTTTTTTTTTTTTTTTCCAATTTTTTTGTAATTATTATTATTTGTCAAATTTTTTATTAAAAAAAAAAAAAAAAAGAATAATAATAATAATAATAAGAAACAAATTTTATTAAAATATTTTAACGGGATGATTTTCAACGCGCGTGTAAATTTTCCACTTCCCCCTTAAAAAAATGGTATATGCATTTTGTTATACATTCGTGTATAAATATTACTATAATTGATAAATATTTAAATTACAAAATATATTATTTACATATATATATATGTATAAATAAAAATTAAAAAATAAAGGATTAAAATAACAATTTGTTTGTTGTTTGTTTGTTTGTTTTTTTATTTAAAAAAAAAAAAAAAAATTCCTTTTATTCCCATTCCCCGTTTCCAAAGACTACGAAAACGATTAATAAAAATGAAAATTTTTATGCGGGAATCCATTGTTAAAAATTTTATTTCAAGCGAGACTCCACTGTTGCATTTTTATTACAAGCGAAAATTTTGGTTTACGATAAACCTCCTGAATATTATGTTTTACGGATACATCAGAGGAAATTTTTCGATGTTTTTAGTGACAAATGACCTTTTGACAAGCGGGGTGAATTCACTGTTTACGTTTTATTTCAAGCGGGGAATCCACCGTTTACATTTAATTTCAAGCGGGAAAATTACGTAATGGGAAAATAGTAGAAAAATTAAGTATGGGAAATGGTTCTGAGGAAAAGCCATTTTCTTTTACTACTAGGTATACTTAACAAAATTCACGCCTAATGATAATAATGATGTTTCAGTGAAACTTACAATAATTATTCTCATGTCATCATAGGTTATAACAATACGAAACCTATCCGATAACATCACCGATGTTCAGGTATTTATTCCTTAGGGATCAACAGGGAGATTATAAGTGAAGGTAATAATAATAATAATAATAATAATAATAATAATAATATATCACAGTATAAAAAAATTCATAATCGTTTTTATTTTTCAAAAAAAAAAAAAAAAAAAACATCAGATTAAAAATAATAATAATAATAATAATAATAAATTTCCTACATAGAGAGTACATATGTACACGTACATACATACATACATACATACATACATATATAATTATTTTGCGTGCGTGAACGCGCGTTGTGTGCGTATGGTATGCGTAATTATGCAAAAAAAAAAAAAAAAAAAAAAAAAACATAAAAATTTGTTATACCCTCGAATAAATTACATAATAATAATAATTATAATAATAATAATAATAATATGTATTATTTTGAGCAAACGAAAAAAAAAAGTGCGTAAAATATTTCATTTCGATGTCATTCGTCTAACACATATAAAACACGCACGGGAGCGTGCGCGCACACGCATACCCGCACGCGCACACCCACACGCACGCGCACATCCACACGCACACGCATACCCGCACGCGCACACCCACACCCACACGCACACGCACGCACGCACGCACGAGCAAAATCGGTCGCATAAACATCCTTTTACTCCATTTCTCACTCAATATACGAGCCCAATAATAATAATAATAATAATAATAATAACAACAGTAAAGGCAAGTAATTATAATAATGATGATGATGATGATGATGATGATTTTTTTTCACGTCAAAAAAAAATTACGTGCGTATATATACGTGCGTGCGAGAGTGCGTAAGTGCGCGAGTGCACGTGCGTGCGCTCGCATTATTATTATTATTATTATTATTATTTATTCAGGCTCGCGTTTATTATTATTTACTTTTTTTAGCAACAACGAAAAAAAAAAAAAAAAAAAAAGAAAAATTTGCTTGTATTTGCACAAAACGATTGCAAAAACAACCAGGGCACCATTTTTGTTTTTGTTTTGTTTTGTGTTCCTGGTCAATAAAAATCCTGCTACTTCGTCATTTTTTTGCTTTCAACAACAACAATCGACAACGACAACAACAACAATCATAATAATAATTATTAATATAAAATTGCTAATAATAATAATAATAATAAATTATTCACTCCAATTTCCTCCATCGTTTTCGTCGTTTTGTCGTCGTCGTCGTCGTCGTCATCACCGACATGACCGCCGTCATCGCCGCCGTCAAAAAAAACCAAAAAAATTTAAAATAATAATAATAATAAAATTAAAATTAAAATTAAAAAAAAAAAAACAACAACAATAGTAAATTAATAGTAATAGTAAAAAAACAATCGAACGGACTCTTGTTTTCAAACTATTCACTAATAATAATAATAATAATAGAATTTGTTTTATAATAATAATAATAGTAGTAATTGTAATAGTAGTAATAGTAGTATTAATAAATCATATGTCATCAAACGTAAACTTCTTTCTTTTTGACTTGTCCAGAAGGAAACGGTGACGGAGATGATGATGATGATGATGATGAATTACCAATTTGAGACGCCGAACTAATTTTACGCGTTCTGTCCTCCGCCATTTGTAACGTCGACGTCGAACTCGCTTTAATAAAAAAAAAACAACAAAAAAAATTTTAAGGGATGAAAATTTCTTTTCTTTTCTTTTCGCACTCTGTGTGCGTGAGTTAAAATCAAGAAGATTTTTTACCCGAATTTGATCCGCTACTACTACTGTTGCTGCTACTACCTATGCTACCCCCGGTACTTCCCATGTTCACGTTTCCACCGCTACCGTCGTCGGACGGCGTCGCCAACTGAAATTACAAAAGGTTAATTACAATTCGATAGATCGATACATCGATCGATTACACGATTCGACTACGACGACTCACCTCCGTCACGATGGTCGGAGATTTGGGCGGCGTTATTTTCCTCGTCGCATCCTGTCCGGAATTGGCAAAACTCGCTCTCGTCGGTGAGGGCGAACTCGTCGGCGTGGGCGTCAACATGAGCGACGTTAAAAATTGATTTCCGGAGCTAATGACCGGAGTGAGAGTCACGGACGTCGGACTTATCGCCATGGGTCCCAATCCGGCGCTCGTGAGAGCCGGCGATAGGACGGCCTGAGCCAGAGCCGCCGTTCCTCCGGGTCCCGTGACCATCGTCGACGTTCCCTCCAATTCTTGTATGGGAGATAAAACGACTTGAAGAACGGGAGCCATGTCGGCGTGATACCCGGTCGGAGCTTGACTAAATGGAGGAGGATTCGTCGCCAATGGGGAAGTTGGCGTCGCGCTCATTTTACTCTCCTGAGCCATGACTTCTTTCGTCACATCCGGAGTCGGTATTCTCGGACGATTTTTAAGCGATACTAAAAACATTTTATTATCATCATCATCCTTTTTTTTCGAAGGCGATCTCTCACCACCGAAGAAGACTACGTACCTGGTTTCTTTTGCGGTCCCCTAGACGATTTCCTACCGACTAATCTATCGTAGAGCGACATTTTTTGATTTTGTAAAACTATAGCATTGGGATTCGCACTCCCGTCGCCGTTTAACGTCACGGATATTGGTAAGCCCGATTCGGGACTCGAATAAACGGAATTGTGTCTTGTCCTGGCGAAAAGACGACCCGAAGAATAGCTCGTCGAAGTGGATCGCAATGATCCCATTCGATGCATCTGACGTTGAAACCAGTTTTTACGTACCACCATCGGCGTATCCACTGTTTCCTAAAGCGCCCGTAGGGCAAATATAAAAATAACTTTTAATTGCCTTTCCATTTATAATCAATTACCAACAACAACAACAACAACAACAACTCAACAACTGGAATTACTGACCATAATAATAATAATAGTAATAGAAATCCAAATTCCAAGTAGTTTCTTTTTCCCTCCTCTATTACCCCTCCCCCTCCTCCCCCCTTCCCATACGGTTTCTAAATTATACCTCTCTCTCTCTCTCTCTCTCTCGTTTCCATCGAAATCCATGCATGCATGAGCAGCTCAGGTTTCTGTGCGGAAACGCATCGTCACGAGATAGAGTTTTATAATAAAAAAATTTTTTAAATTTTCGACTTACATAATCTAAATCCGGGTGTTCCCCGTACATGTCTTCCCCCTGTGGCACTTTTCTGCCGTGAGCCGTGGGAGCAAGCAAATTTGAATATATCGAATCCGCTTCTTTGACTTTGTAATTTTCCGCCGAACCTTTCGGCTCGGATTTCCTATAACACTCCGACGCGACCGTGTAAGGCAAATCCTTCGGTACGACTTCTTCCCAATATTGATCCTTGAACAATTCCGGATGTTCCTCGTGCATTTGATCGACGATCATATAAGCAGCCTGATAAAAAAAAAAATTACGACAATGAGTGAAAAATATTTAAAAAAAAAAAAAAAAAATTGAACATGGTACACGAGGGCCGGAAGTTAGTGGCGTCCTCCTGTACTCCAGCTACTTGGAGGCCGGGTGCAGTGGATGACTTTGATCGTGTAATTCGGATCCTACTTGTTGTGCATTTTTAATAAACGGTCGACGGGACACTCTGACCAAGTGTTTCCGCCGGCCGACTTTTCCGGAGCAACTCCTGCTCCGGAAAAACGGGGATGCGAGCAGAAGGACGACGGAAAGATCTTCTTGCGTGGAATGAACCGGCTTCTTTCGCGGGGGATCGACTCGTCTCCGGAAACTCGTCATTCTCGGGGGATGGTTCGCCTGCTTAAGGACGGTGCGTGCGATTCATTCCAACGGCAGAAAGAAGATGCAAACAAAGAAGAAGATCGGGACGACGACGGATCCGACGATTACGTCGACGTCGGAATCCGCACCGGTCGGATTCTCGCTCTTCGGACTGCAAGAGTCAACAGGAAGGCGGCAGGGACAAAACGCGGACGGACTACGGGGGATAGTTCGTTGGGTCCGATACTTCGAAGCTCACCGCCTCCGGAAGCTCACTTCGTCTCTGCGGGGAGGCGGGAACGACGTGACAGGTCGGTACCGTCTCCCGAGGCACGAGGGAGGAAAGGATTCGTCCCGGTACTCCGAGTCGGGCTTCGGGTCTCTTGCTCGATTACGTCGGGGGGAGATTCGTCCCGGCTTAGGTGCGTTGGCGTTCTTCGCGGCGGTCGTCGCGGGGTCGTCGGGGAGGGAACAGGCATTAACGTTATCTCATTTCGGGCGCGGATCTTGAGGATCTCCCAACGCGGACGGCGGCGGGAGGACGAAGCGAAAAGAGTCGCGCCCCATTCGGCTCGTCCGGGTCTGGAAGTTCGTCTTTACCCGCGGGGGAGGCGGGAACGACGTGACAGGTCGGTACCGTCTCCCGAGGCACGAGGGAGGAAAGGATTCGTCCCGGTACTCCGAGTCGGGCTTCGGGTCTCTTGCTCGATTACGTCAGAGGGAGATTCGTCCCGGCTTAGGTGCGTTGGCGTTCTTCGCGGCGGTCGTCGTGGGGTCGTCGGGGAGGGAACGGGGATTAACGTTATCTCATTTCGGGCGCGGATCTTGAGGATCTCCCAACGCGGACGGCGGCGGGAGAACGAAGCGAAAAGAGTCGCGCCCCATTCGGCTCGTCCGGGTCTGGAAGTTCGTCTTTACCCGCGGGGGAGGCGGGAGCGACGTGGCAGGTCGCGAACGTCTCCGCAAAGGTGAGGGTGAGGACGCCCGGCGGCGGCGGGCGCAAACCCGTCGTCGTCGGGCGAACACACACACTTCTTTTCTTCCTTCTCGAGGGTCGGCGACCTCGGTCGATTCCTCTTCTGTCCCCCTTTTCTATTCCCCATACCGTTAGGGAGGATGCGATCAAATAACTCTTCACTTTAATCTTTTTACCCTTTTCAGGTGACGCGGTACGTCTCAATCCCCAGCCCGATCGCATCCTCAGGAAACAGGCGCGTTTCTCATCCAATTTTTCCACAGCGAGAAACCGGAGGACACTTCCGAAAGGGGGTGCCGAACGTCCCGGGAGGTGCGTTCTCCTCTTCGAGGAGGAGACGGAACGGAGATTAGGCGGACCTCCCCAAAAGTGATCATGTGGAACGGCTAACGTTCTGACCTACCGGAGAGGGGAGACTGAAATGTAGGTTCAACTCCCACGAGCGTCTCCCCCCCTTTCCATACAGGTCACGCTTTAGCGACATGCCCAGGAGTTTTAGTGGGTAGGGGTCCCCGCTTAGGCTTTCTTTCGATTCCAAACCGATCCCCACACTCCCTCTGTAGCAGGAGGGATTGTGCGTAACTTGCATTTCTCCTGGGTCACCAAAAAAAAAAAAATGGTACACGAGTACAGTCACGCAGGCAGGTAAACAGGCAGGCAAGCAGGCAGGCAAACAGGCAGGTAAAAACATTGATGAAATATTTTAAATTGGAGAGAAAGTTGACGACGAAGTAATAATAAAGAAGATATTTTTAAAAATTAAACGATGATCGATGAATCGATCGATTAATCGATCGCGAAAAATGAAAAAAAAAAAAAAAAAAAAATTGGAGCAAGCATGCGCGCACCTGACAATAATTTCAACAAAAAAAATTTTAAATCCAACGTTTCTCTCTCTCTGCCTGTCTGTCTCTCTCTCTCTCTCTCTCTTTGCCTATCTCTCTCTCTCCCCCCGTCTCCCTCTGAGGTTTTCCGCGTGCGTACGTGCTTGGGTACTTGCGTATACTCATACACACCTTCAAATGCCTGTCGATTAACCAATTGAGTTCGATATCGTCGTCATCTTCACCGAATGGATTTATGAGAACCTCAGCAACTTTCAACCATCCGACGTAGAAGCAAAACTGAAAAGAAAAGAATGAAAAAACGAATTTGAATTTTGAAATTTTCTGCCCCTACGAAAATCATCTTCTCCTACCCCCCCTTCCCCGATCCTTTCTTTTGTTTTTCCCAAAGAGTTTTCGCTCTGTTGACGGAAATCAAGGTTGTTTGTTTGTTGTTCGTATTCGTATATATATAAACATAATATCGATTTCTAAACGAGTTTATTCATTTATTTATTTATTATTAACATTATCATTATTATTATTATTATTATCATCATTATTATTTTTCGTACGCGCGGCAATGGTTGTTAGCCTAAGGTCCAATAAAGGCCATTGGCCTTTAATACGCTTAATTATTATTATTTTATATTATTTTTTTCTTTCTTTCCTACACTTAAATTCGGTAATTAAAATTGAATTTTTTTTTTTTTTTTTAAATAAAAAAAATAATTTTTTACCGGTCGTGCGTGTCCGCGCGTGTGCGTATGCGTGCGCGTGCGTGTCAACTCACCTGAAGCGTCGTGAAGAGTGGAAAAAATATTTCGTCGACGAATTTACTATCCGTCGTTTTGGGTATCTTGTCCGGACTCACGAATTGACGTCCCAAAAGTGCGACTATGAAATACGAATAAACGGACAACGTAACTACCTGTTGAGAAAAAGAAAACGAACAAAAGAAAACAAAAGAAAACAAACAGGCAAACAAACATACAAACAAACAAATATAAAACAAACGAGGAAGGAAGTTTTTTTTCAATTAAGCATTGTTATTATTATCATTATCATCATCATCATCAAACCGTCGAGTTTGGTTGCTGGACAAACGAAAAACGAACAAAAAAAGTAAAAAAATTTTTTTTCTTTTTTTTTTTTTTTGCCTGGCGGTAATATCACCGCCGGGTGCGTGAGTGCGCGGCCCGCGCGCTCGCGCCCCCTGCCCCCCGCAAAAAAAAAAAAAAATTTGAATTCCGTCCAAACCCTCGCGTTTTTCTTTTTAAACTCTTGCCAATTTTTTTTTTTTTCAAAATTCATTCCTAGGGCATTAACAACAATGTAGGCCTCTCTACTCGCGAATAGAGGTCACTAACGAGTATTAACTGGGTGGTGTTTGTCGTTGTCGTTTGTCGTCGTCGTCGCCGGTGTTCTACGCAACTTCAGCTTGTGCAATTTCTAAATCGAGTTCGCTGTCTGGCGACAAATATTCGAACTTTAAAGAAAAAAAATCCACCCGTTTTTTTTACTAATAAATGCTCGTAATAACACGATCTCCTTCCTTCCCCCCCCAAACAAAATCGATCCGAATCGTATCGTATCGACAAACGTGTGGGCCCCCTCCCCCTCCTCACCACACGATTGTTTCATTGTTGTCGTTTGTTCTTTCACATCATTTCACGCTCGCGTTTTTCGCTCGCATCTCTTCAACACCGTGCGTAACGAATCTCCGAAAAGAATGTATGAATGAACGAATGAATGAATTTAACGACGGCGGGGGGAGAGGGGAAACGCTACCGAAACGTATTGGTTCGACAAACAACAACAACAACAACAACCTACCGTAATAATAAGTGTCTCTCCCACAGTTAAGGGCAAGGCCGAATCCTCTCAAACGATTTCACATGCCGGTTAACCGGCACAACCATGCGTGGAAAATTTAAAAAACCTATTTTTCTTTGTTTGTTTCTCGTTTGTTCTTGTTCTTGTTGTTGTTGTTGTTGTTCTTGTAGTTTTTGTCGTTGAGAAATTGATCAACAATGCCAAAAAAAAAAGACAATACGATCGTGGGCAGGAAGGAGTTTTAGGGCGTGATATGATTTTTGTTTCATACGAAACGCACGCGTTCAAATCACTCCCCCCCCCCGAACGCCGCATCGAGAAATTTCTAATCGATTACAATACGCGTTATTACGTCATCATTACGTCAATTTTACTACCGCCATTATCGCTCACAATAATTAAATAAAAAAAGACCACCAATGATGATGATGATGATGATGATGATGGCGATGATGTCGTCGTCCTACTACATGATGCGTGTGGGTACGCACGCACGCACGAACGTCAAATCCAAGTCGATCGGGATAAAAAATCAATTCGATTCGATAATTAAACTCGAACGCGCGCGTTTTTTTCCCATTGTCTTTTAAATTTTTAAATTTCCCGCGTTACCGCGCGCGCGAAAAAAAAATCCCCTCCTCGCCTATAATAATGATTCCGATCGTGGGGGATTCCTTTCGTCGATTACCCGCCATTTTTTTTTTTTCCTTCTTATTTATTTATCGAGTTTTTAATGGGTTTGTGCTACCTTTAACATATCATTATCATTATTATTATCGCGTACATAATGTTATAAAAAAAAACATGAAATCGTTTTTGGCAAAAATCACTTTAATAAATTTAAAAAAAAAAAAAAAAAAAATAGCGAAAGTGAAAAATTATCGCCCTCGAGGAGATTCCAAGAGCAGAATTCTACAAACGACAAACTACGACGACGACAAACGACAAACGACAAACAAACTACGACGGGTTCTTCCCAGATTTATTATTATTATTATTATTATTACCTTTTCCAACGAGTTGGAAACGTTGACGTCAACGATCAATTAATTAATAATAATAATAAACGTGTGTTCGTTCGTAATCGAAATTTTTTTTTATCACTCTTGCGTGAGTTGGTACCCCCCCCCCGTAGGTAACCGCCGCGTAGCTACCCTACTCTACCCTATCCTATCCTACTCCTCCTTCCTTCCTCCTTCCTTCCTTTCGGGTGGTGTTAAAATAATTACCTGAGTGTAAACCAAAGGCAAGCAAACGGTGTCGTATCCTATGAGGGATCCCAATCGTCTCCTTATGTCCGACAGTTCCATGAGTATCGTTTGCACGAGGTGATCGCTGCTTATCAACGATTCCTTTCTCGCTCTCGTTATTATGTTTGTCGCCCAAACGAGAGGAAGCCAATATTTCGACATGACTTTGTTTTCCGCGTCCATAAGATCGAATATTTTCTTCTCGCTGTCCATCATTATCCCTGTGAAAAAAAAAAAAAAACATTCAAAATCCCAATTTCAGAAAATAACGTTAAACCTTAAACCTTAGCTTAGGCTTGGCGGAGTTGCGTCGAACGATACATCGATCGATCCATCGATCGACCAATATCGATAAATCGATCGATCATTTTACGCGGCGTGAATTGAAAAGAGACAATTATATACTACATTCTTTCTCTCTCTCTCTCTCTCTCTCTCTCTTTCTTTCTTTCTATTTTTTTCTTTTAGATAAAAACGCGACCGAATTCTCGACGAGAGAGCAGACATTTTTTTTTGCACTTTTCTTTCGTTTGGCGCCCGACAAATTGTTTAAATTATTATTATTATTTATATTTATCATTTTCTCTCTCTCTCTCTTTCTCTAACATGAAATTATAGTGAAACGAATAAATGATATCTTTATGGTATTAGGGGAATTCCCTCTCCTCCCCTCCCCCGTATCCCCGTTCGTCGCCATCGGGGCTTTCGATTCTATTTTTAAGTTACATCTAAGAGAGAAATCGATCATATCGAACGATCGATCGATCGATCAATCGATTATTCCAAAAAAAAAAATCACGCTTGCTCGTATATTTGCATTAAAAAAAAATTTTTTTTATCGATGATGATAATAATAATAGTAATAAAGAAACGAAACGAAACGAAACGGAAAATTATTACCTTCTGACGTAGAAATAAAAACAACGAAACAAAACAAAACAAACTTGATTTCGCAAAGAATGTTCGATATAATGATAATGATAATAATTTTCTTCTCTCTCTCTTTCTCTCTCTCTCTCTTTCTCTCTCTCATTTCGTTTGTTCGTTTGTCTGTTTGTTTCGAGTTTTTGGGTTTCTTTCGTTTTCTACGGATTTGTCAAGATCGACCAGGTACGAGAAGTGATTTACCGAAAATCCATACGTTTTTTTTTTTGCAAACTTTATTCATCGTTTATATATTCGCATACAGGTACGACTTGACGCGGATTCTACGAATTTAACAATATTCAAAGAATTTAAACTTTCAACTTTAGGACAAAAGAGAGAAAAGAAAGAAATTTTCCAATACTACCATCTCATCGATTCAAATTTCACAATCCCGAATAAATATTAATAATAATAATAATACAATTAATAATAAAAAACCAACGGGTCATTTATTATTATTATTTTTATTATAATCCTCTGGTTTGTTGTTTTATTATTACATTATTCGTCGTCCGACATGAAAAATATGAAATTTTTTCAAAAGTCGGCGAAATTAAATGTTAGATAATTCGTATTATTATTATTATTATTATTACTACTACTATCATCATTATTATCGTGCTCTCGTACCCGTCGTACTCGTCGTCATTATTTATTAATTTACAAAAATGATTTAATAAGAATTAATTAAAAGAGACGAAAAGTCGGGGCGAGGAGAGCCGAATGCAAAAGGAACAGGATAATGGCGGCGGCGGCGGTGGTGGTGGTGGTGGCTGATGGTGAGGGGTGACGGGTCGGTGATTTCGATGGTGACGGGTCGTCGTGGCGGTAATAATAATAATGGCAAAAAAAAAAAAAGAAAAAGGAAACAATAGTTTTTACGAGAGTTCCGCGAAAATCAAAACCGTGGAAATCGTTAAACGAAGGCTATACTCGCTTACTTTTTCACTATTTACACGTCGTTGATGACGTAATAGCAAAAAGAAATGAAATTTTTCCGTTTCGAAAAAAAAACACAAACAAAATTTGCCCTCAAATATCATGCCCCCCTTTCTGCCTCTCTCTCTCTCTCTCTCTCTCTCTCTCTCTCTCTCTGCCTCTCTGTCTCTCTCGTTCTACACGACTTCCATTATTTATTAATCGACCGTTAACAAAAAATAAAGAAAATTTTAATTAAAAAAGCGAAAATGATCGGCGGCGCGAAAGAGAGAGAGAGAGAGAGACAGAGGGAGGAGAGGGAGAGAGAGAGACCGACTGAGATTAACCAATCGTTTCAAGGTGAGCATCATCTCCGATCGAACATTTTTTTTTTTTTTTAACACTCTTTCGAAGAATCTCTTTGATTCGATGCGTACTCACGCATTCACGCACTCACGCACTCACTCCACGGTGGTTACGTTAAACTTTTTAATTTTTTTTTTTATATTATAATAAATAATAAATAAATAAATAAGTAAACGAACAAAAGGTCAAGTGAATAAACAATAATAATAATAATAATAATGATAATAGCGTTAAAAATTGCAAAGGATCATTCTGAATGAGAGCGAAATTCCCTGTCCCTCCTCATCCCCTTATCCCCCCAGTGCCCCCCTTTCCAACTCTCCGGATGACTGGAGTGGCGGGGAAAAAAAAAAGATAAAAAAAAGAACGTACCAGCATCCACCATGTGCTGCCACGACGGAAATCGTTTTTTAACTCTTAAACTGACTTTTTGCAACGTTATCACATATGATAGAAGAGCGTAGCGAACAATGTTTCTCCTCATCAAACGACCTTTTTCATCCTGCAATGATAAGAAAAAGAAAATAATAATAATAATAATAATTTTTTGCACGCTCACACGCACACGCAGACGCACACGCACACAGAAACAAAAATTCGATCGCGAGTTAATAATAATAATAAAAAAAACACGACATACGTTCGTGACGCATGTCCTTACAGTTTTTCATATAACGAACTTTTTTACGCGTTTCCTGTTCTATGGCAAATTAAAACCGGATGTGAGGAAAAGAATGACAGAAAAAAATAAAAAACGACGAAACGTAAAATAATAATAAACGACTACAATAATGATGATAATAATAATAATGAAAATATGCACGAGAATCGATCGATATTAATCGATCGTCGACGACTTCGACGAGAACGTATCGATGATTTTATTACCATTGATTAAAAATTTTTTAATTATTATTATCGATATAAAATTCGATATAAATATATATCGAAATCGTAACTCGAAATATAAAAAAAAATTTTTTTTTTATTCTCATAATCGCTATGGATTCGATTCGATTCGATTCGATTCAATGGTAACAATTCTCGAAATAATTTTTGCCGATTATTATTATTCGTCGAAGGCGAAACAAACACTCACGCGCACACTCTCACACTCGAGAGAGAGAGAGAGAGAAAGAAACAGACAGGCAGAGAGAGAGAGAGAGAGAGACAGGCAGAGAGTAAGAGAGACAGACAGCCAGAGAGATAGAGAGAGACAGAGAGAGAGAGAGAGACAGGCAGAGAGTAAGAGAGACAGACAGCCAGAGAGATAGAGAGAGACAGGCAGAGAGAGAGAGAGAGACAGACAGAGAGAGAGAGAGACAGACAGCCAGAGAGAGAGAGAGAGATAGATAGAGAGACAGACAGCCAGAGAGATAGAAAGAGAGAGAGAGAGACAGACAGCCAGAGAGATAGAAAGAGAAAGAGACAGGCAGAAAGAGAGAGAGGGAGAAACAGACAGGCAGAAAGAGAGAGAGAGACAGGCAGAAAGAGAGAGAGAGAAACAGACAGGCAGAAAGAGAGAGAGAGAGAGATAGATAGAGAGACAGACAGACAGGCAGAGAGAGACAGAGAGGAAAACCGTTAATTTTTTTTTTTTTTTTTACATTTTCCCACCGATGATGATGATGATGATGATGACGACGATGACGATTCGATTTTTTTTTTTTTTTTTGTTTTTTTCTTTCAACAAAGGGCGCGCGCTCGAGCGCGTTCGATTTCCGCATTTTAAAAATCATTGTCTAATCAAATTAACCCGGAATTTATTGTTCTTTTTTTTTCTCTTTTTTTTTTATGTATTTAAAAAAATTTTGGCAAGTAATTATTATACGATAGTCTCCGATGATCGAATCCCCCGCCGTTCGTTTTCAGTACACGTTCGTAATAATTTTTAAAACGCTCGAGAACACGCACCTCTGCCTCTCTCTCGTCTCTCAGACGCGCGAGAGATAATTTGCGAAAGAAAGAAATCGTAAAAACCCCCTTCTCCCTTACCCCCTTCTCTCGAAAAAGGCAATTACCGTTAATTAAAAAAAAAAAAAATTATGCTTAATTTTCCGCGCCATATTGATAACCGAAAAACAACAACGACGTTTTTTATGACTTCCCAGAAAAAAAAAAAAAAGTTTAAAAAAGCGTAGGTGGTTAAACAAAAACATTTTGATTGATTGATAATTCGCAACGTTTGTTTGTTTTTTAAGTGAAAATCAAAATGGCGGACGGAGAAAAATTTACGATCATTTCATTTTCTCTTCCCTTCTCCCCCTCCCCTCCCCTCCCCTCCCACCACCGCCATCATCATTCTCATCATCACCATCATCATCATCATCAACATCATCACCATCATCATTATTAATTTGATGATTATTTTCTCACGCGAAACGGACGTGGCAATAAAATAAAAAAAAATTGATTGATTTCGAGATATCGAAAAGCGAGAGTTTGAACTCACTCGTCGAGTTTTTTTTTTTTTTTTTTTTTTTACGGCTTTCCGATTCCTGGAAACTTAAATTAATATCATTTCCTCGTCGTTTATTATTATTATTATTACATACGTAGGCAGGCATACATGCGTATATGCTCGAAACGTTAACAAAAAAAAAAAAAAAAAAAAAAAAAAAAAAAAAAAAACCTATTGTTTTTCATGGGAAAATAATGACGATAATGATGATAATATAATGATTTTTTTGTTTTTATTACTTCGCATCGTTTCGTTTGAAAATTATTATTATTATTATTTATTGCAAAAAAAAAAAAAAATTTTTCGCGGTGCCTGTTTGCGTGTGCGTGTGTGCGTGTGCGCGTAAGATAGAGAGAGAGAAAACGAAAACAATAAATAATCATTTCCTCGTTTCGGTAACGATGCCGTGTCGTGTCGTGTCGTGCACCAACCACCCACCACATGCGTGGAAAAGCACGAAAAAAGAGAGAGATAGAGATAGATAGACTCACCGCTCCGGGTATGGCCGCGCTGACGAAGAGTGCTAAAGTATCAGGCCAGGGTAACAGCTTGTATTGTTGCCACCACCTTCCGACGACTAGAGTAACGTAAAATCCGAGCACGAACGACATTGGTATACTTTCGCTGTGGCTTCCAAAATATATTCTCACTTTTTCAAACGCTCTGGAAAATGATATAATAAAAAATGAAAAAGTAAAACTTGATTTGCACGCACGCACCCACGCACGTACCGTCAACCTTCGTGCCTGCGTGCGTGCGTGCGTGCGTGCGTGCGTGCATGCGTCTGCCAGCCTGTCTCGGCCAGCCTGTCTGTCCGTCCGTCTGTCGTAACACTAAAAATTTTATTTCACCTTCTTTCTTTCTTTCTTTCATTTTTTATCTTGAAAGACATAAAAAAAAAAAAAAAAAAAAAAGAAATTATTATTAATCGAGGCACGGCAGGTACTTGCTCTACTTCCTCCTAAGGACATGCATGCATTATTCAACAGCCGGTAAAATAAGTAAGGTATTCATTCGCACTGGAAATCCAGGTGGTTGCGTTTGCAACACGTTCAAGGACATTTATCAGAGAGCGTGGGTAACAACAATGGCTTCGTCGATTTCTCTCTTTTTTTCTCTCTCTCTCTCTCTCTCCCAATGTAATCAATGGTGGCCCAGGTCCGGAGCGAAACGGCGTAGCGACCCTGCTTCCTTCCAATATCGAACAAGGTTCTTCTTTGTCGTAATCACCATCCTCGTCATCGTCATCATCATCGACGCGATGGTGGTAATACATCGTCGTCGTCGTCGTCTTCATCGTCTCGTTTTCTTTTCTTCGTTTCCTCTCTCTCTCTCTCTCTCTCTCTCGCATACTGCATCCCCCTTGTTCTTCTTCCCGAACGTTCGTTCTTTCGTTCGTTTCGACATCATTTTATTGAGACGTTAAAGAATCCGTGAAAGATGACAAAGTCTCACTGCGACGCTGATAAGTTTTCCAATTTAACTTGAGTTAACTACTTTATCACTTATTTGACGTTTTAGGATAATTTAACAACCGTGACAGAACACTTGTGCGTGCATGAGTGCGTGCCTGAGTGCGTGCTCGCGTGCGTTTTTTCTTCTCTTCAATTCGCGTGCGAATTTCTTTTTTTTTTTTTTTTCATAGTTTTGACACGTTCCTCCGACATCTTATATCTCTCTCTTGTTGGTTTCTTCTCCTTTTTCTTAATCGTTTCCATGTGTCGTTGTCGCTTTACCCGGCCAATTTTTTTTTTTTTTTTGTTGTCTTCGAACCATTCTCGAACAACGAGATTGAACAAATGATACTCACCATTAATAATAATAATAATAATAATAATTCCTTTTTTTTTAAACAATTTTTTCAAGATTAAAAGTCTTTCTTTTCTTTCGATTATTTTTTTGGTTGTTGTTGTTGTTGTTGTTCGGTTGTTGTTGTCGTTGTCTTTATCGTTATCGTTATTATTATCGTAAAATGAAAAATTAAAACAACGACTCACCTTTTTTGTTCATCGTTCAGTCCGAATCTGTACACGAAATTTATTAAAAAAAAAACACAGATATAAGCCATTAATTCTCTCCATATTAATTTATAAACGCTCCCTCGCCATCTGAAACAAAGAAAAACAAAGAAAAAAAATTATTCGTTGGTCGGTTCATTCGTCAGAGAGACAGAGAAAGAGAGAGAAAGACAGAGACAGTAACTACAATTATTATTTAAAATCAATCGTGTAACTAGACAAACTCATTCCATCATTATTATTACGAATAATATAGCCCATCTATAGCTATGGTAAAATCGAAAATTCTCGAATGTTAAAAAAATTCGTTTTTTTTTTTTTTTTTTGCGTCGTGGAATTAGAGATCGGACGAGAGACGACGACGAGACCTTCGTCCTTGTCGTCGTCGTCGACGTCGACGTCGAGTGCACCTCTAATTACAGTTTTTCGGAAATGACGCCGATGGATGAATTCTTTTTTTTTTTTTTTTTTTGCCCGGTAACGATGATTATGATGAATTCATCGAATTCAAATTCCATAATAATAATAATAATAATAATAATAATAATAATAATAATAATAATAATAATAATAATAATAATAATAATTGCGTATGAGATTTATTAAAAAAAAAAAAATTTTTTTTCGTGTAGTTAGACAAGCTTTGGAGGTTTTTCTTCTTCTTCTTTTTTTTCCAACGCGAATAAATCATCACACGGCGTAAATAATAATAATAATAAACGTGCCCCACGCGTTAGTGTCGCAATTAAATCACGAGAAGATAATAATAATAAACGTTTACTGTTTGTTTGTTTGTTTCGTTCTTTTGTTCTTTTATATTGAAATCTATCACGACGAAAAAAAAAAATTTTACAGTGTCTTCTTGTCTCTTAGGCGGAAGGAAGTTGAGGAGGAAGAGGAGGAGGAGGAGGAGGAAGAGGAAGGGGGAAGAGGAAGAAGAAGAGAAACGCAAAATAATAATTAAAAAAAAAATAAAAATAAAAAAACTTTCGCGAAATTCGAATAGTCGAATTCATTGTCACACATCATCATCATCATCATCATTGAGAGAGAAAAGAAGAAGAAGAAAAGAGGTCGTTTCCGATGATGATGATGATGATGACACCGTCACACATATTTAGTTATACAAGGCGGTGTTACGCGATCGAAGTTTTTTTTTTTTTTTTTTTTTTTTTTTTTTAAGGAAGCGTGAATATCGAACGCGAGGAAAAACAACAACAACAACAACAATTATCTTCGACAACCTTTGCCATCGCAAACGCACACGCACACGCACACGCATGCACACACACCCCACCACCGTATTTTGACATTGCGGTTCTCCTTGCCATTGATCCAAAACATCATTCAAACAACGTTCACGTCGTGTTTTCCCATTAACAAACAAACAAACAAACAAAAACAAAGCGAAACAAAACAAAACAAACGAAAACAACTTTTACCGACCTTTATCGTCCCAAAAGAGAGCAAAAACAAATGGGATCGAACCAACCCAAAATCCTTATTTTTCCCTTCGGTTTCCCCGCACCACCCCCACACACACACTTCCCACTCCCCCTCCCTCCTCCCCCGAAAAAAAAATAAAACTCATTTTAAAACCAACCAATTCAAACAATACCAATAACAATAAATAAATAAATAATTTTTTTTTTTTTTCCTCATTGTATCGATTGTAGGATTTTCGTTTCCGGTTGATCGATGAACCCTATCATCATCATCATCATCATCATCATCATCATCATCATCGTGAGTGTGTGAGATGAGTTTCCATATCCTCCATCCTTGTATCGAATCAACAATAAACCAACAACAACCTTTTTAATTTTTTTATTTATTTACAAATTTCAATTTAATCAAAACACGCGCACGCACTCACTCATGGGTACGAATTTTAAAAACCAATTTACATCATCATCATTATCATTATTATTATTATTATTATTAACATTTTCCAGTAAAAAAAAAAAAAAATAAATAAAATTTTGTATACATTTCGCGTTAACCTTAATAAAATTTGGCATCGAACGTCGTAAGGTCGCACTCGACACCCTTCGATTTAATTCGATTTTCATTGTTTCCAAAAAAAAAAAAAAAAAAAGAAAAAAACAAGGTGAGGGTAGGGGAGGCGGGTTTATTCTTGTCGAATAAACGATCGATCGTGATTGACAGTGTGCGTGTGCGTGTGCGTGCGAGAGAGAAAGAGAGAAAAAGAAACAAACAAACGAACAAACGAACGAACGAAAAAATTATTACGATTTATTATTATTATTTATTTTCTCTCTCTCTCTCTCTCTGCCTCTCTTTCTATTTCTCTCTCTTTCTCTCCCTATCTATCTATCTATCTATCTATCTTTCTATCTGTTTCTCTCTCCTCCTCTCTCTCTCTCTCTTTCTATATCTCTATCTATTTATCTATGTAGCTGTCTCTCTCTCTCTATCTATCTATCCATATTGCTATCTAGCTGCCTCTCTCTCTCTATCTATCTATCCATGTAGCTATCTAGTTGTCTCTCTCTCTCTCTATCTATCTATCCATGTAGCTATCTAGCTGCCTCTCTCTCTCTCTCTCGCACACACTCACACACGCAGGTTTTCACGATCTCACACGATAATTATAATAATTTGTAAAAAGTCACGAAAAGAAAGACAAAAGACGTTCGTTCGTTCGTTCTTTCGTTCTTCATCTTTTTCTCCTTCTTTCACGCGGCAAAGGTTACCAAAAAAAGAGAAGCGATATCCGTGTTATCATGTCACCTTATCGGCGAATACGTGCGAACGTCACGCCGGAACGCAAAAAAAAAAAAAAAAGGAAAATTTAAAGATATCGTTCGCGCGCCAATTTTGAAATATCGTCGAACGAGCGATAAAAAATAATAATAATAATAGTAGTAGAAAAATATAAGCGATATCTCTCTCTCTCTCTCTCTTTCTCTCTCTTTCTATTTCTCTTTCTTTATAAAAATGGCGATAAAAATATTATTATTATTATCATTATTAATAAGGTAAATCAAGTGAAAGTTAGTTAATTTTCTTCTTACATTTATGATTTATTTTCGTTCGAAACCGGCCGCCGACGACGACGACGACGACGACGACATGTTTTTTTTTTTTTTCGAAGGTTGACAGCCCGATTCTCGTTTTTCGTTCCATTTTTACAAAACCGCGCGGTGGAGAAAAGAAAACGTGTTAGAAAAAACTCTCTCTCTCTCTCTCTCTCTTTCTCTCTCACTCGCACGCAGTTTTTTATTTCGTCGACTAATGACACGATTTGTTAAAAATTCTACGTCACCCGATTTGAATTTAACTTTTTTTTTTTTTTTTTTTTATTAAAACATATCGTACAAAAAAAAAAAAAAAAAAAAAAATGAGAACAATGGCGGCCGATCGATTGAAATTGCGTTTGTTTATTTTGTTTGTTTGTTTGTTTGTTTGTTTGCGTGTTCCACCGTTTGACTCGCATCATTCATCAATCAACCAACAACAACAACAACAAAACCGCATTCAAATTCGATTACGTTTAAAAAAAAAAAAAAAAAAAACAAACAATTATTTCACGGATCACGATGATGATAATAATATTATTATTATTATTATTTCAATATTATTACGACGAAATCGAAATTCTTATTTTTTTTTTCAAACAAACACGACAAAATGAAAAGACAAACATAAATGAGATAAAAGACGTTTGTAGGCATTTGACGTCGATTGTTGTTTACAAAAAGAAAAAGAAAAAGAGAAAACAAAAAGGAAAACAAAAAAGAAAACAAAAAGAAAACTGTTAAAAGGTGAGAAGAAAATTGTCGCACATTTACAAAACCTTTTTTTTCTTTTTCCCTCCATCATATATTCGAGAATCTGGACTCGTTTGTGCTTAATAATAACAACAACAACAACAACAACCGATTGTTAATAAGTAGGCCGTTACACCTGAAGTTCCAAGACGAGCCAAAGTGAGAGAGAGAGAGAGAGAGAGAGAGAGAGAGAGAGAGAGAGAGAGAGAGAGAGAGAGAGAGAGAGAGAGAGAGAGAGAGAGAGAGAGAGAGAGAGGAAAAAGAAAGAAAGAAAAAACAAACATACGGTGATATTTGTTGACAGTTGGTTGGAGCACACGGGGAAGGGGAGGGGAAAGTGTCGACCAAAGTTCATTTCCAACTTGTTTCTTGTCGTTCATTCAACAACAAGTGTCGCGCATCTTCTTCACCTTCTTCACCTTCTCCTTCTTCTTCTTCTTCTACTTCCGATGATGCAAAAAGTAAAATTCGTTAACGTTTCGCCGCTTCTATTTTTTTTTTTTTTAGAAAATTCCCTCGCGATAATTAACGTGTCAACAACAACAACAACAACAACACACACAAGAGTTCCTTCATTGACTAGGTCACGGATGAAATTCATTCGAATACAAAACCTTCCTTTTTTTTTTTTTATTTATTTTCCCTTTTTAATGTCAATTAATAATCATAATAATAATTATAGACAAATTACGTATTGAGTGTGCGCGTTACGTGAAAACAAAAAAATTCCCCTCAGAGTTTCCTTGAAATTGTTTTGTAAATCGGTCGATAAATCGTCATCGTCATCGTCATCATCATCATCTCCATCTCAACTTACGCAGGTACTCAACGAAAAAAAAAAAAAAAACTACAAAAAATAATAATAACAAATGTCAATAATAAATAATAATAATAATAATGATAAATAAATCAATAAATAAGAAAAGAAAAGAAAAAAAAAAAAAAACCAACTCATTTAAAACTATTTATTTTGAAAAACAATAGAATTTATTTCGCAATCGAACCGACGCGTTATCATCATTATTATCGTCGTCGTCGTTTTGTTTTCTTCTTTTTCTTCTTCCACGAAATTCAAAAAAAAAAAAAAAAAAAAAAAAAATTTCCCACCCCGTCTGTCGTAATTTGATTGTGACGTCACACACGTCACGTCCACCTACCGGCGAAAGCGCGAACGAATTAACGAATCAACGACATTTTTTTTTTTTCAAAATCCGAATAGAGCAAAAAAAATTTGTTTTTTGAATGAATTTTTCACA